TATGCGTTTTGAAAACGCATAAGGAAAACGCATAAGCTGTCAAAACGCAGTTTACCCAAACAGGCCAGATGCTTTTTCAAAATGTCACCGCACCAAATAAACTGTCCCAAACGGAAGTGAACAAAAGTTACAAAGCGTTATTAGATATGTTAATACATAAGAATTGTGTGGTATGCATGCAAATCTTCCTAAAAAAAGTAAGAGCATATTTAATCACTCGATTATTCTATAATTTGATGAAAATAATGACTTACACTTGGTAATATTACCCACAAATTCAACCTAAATCAATAATATTATTCGCGACTAATATTATAGCAAACATTATATTAACCAAATTGTTGGGAAAAAAACTTAATTGGAAGCTACAATCAAGTTTCTATATGAATATATTTTAAATTTATTAAATTTAGAATAATTTAATATAAATTTTAATTGATTATTCATATAAAAAAATAAATCCAATTATTCTGAAATTCTTGATGACCAAACTTCCACCAGCGCATAAATATATTTTCGAAATTTACATACATACCACAACATTCTTTTATATTTATATATCCAACACCCAAAGTTTGATATTTACACACTTATAACACCCTAACGTCAAAAGCATATGTATGAAAATGTGTATTTCACTTTTAAAATATAATGATGATGGTATTTTTGATGTGACGTTAAATATTTGAATGGTATGTGTTCGCTATGTAAATACATAAGAATTGTGCGGTATGTATGCAAATAGCCCAATAATTTTATCACATCCTCAGTTTCAATCATCTCTATTTGCAATATGATATAATATTTTCTAAAATATTTTATCAAATTGCAAGCATATGACCAGCATTTTCCACACCTTATTTCTAATATATATGTTGTTTGAAGAAACTCTCCCCCTGAATTGGTCTTTTTTCACGAAAAGCAGACATGAGATGACAAATCAAGTCTCACCCTAAGATTTTGAATAGCTGTCCCGAATTCAAGTTGATTATGTTTCGTTTCTTCCTCGGAGAAAGACGATCAAACAATTCCCAATCATGGTCCTTGCGGATCGGATCATCCGTATAGGATAAAAAAAGAAACTCCAGATATTTGCTATCTTTCTCTTTGAATGAGATCTCAATTCCAGCTACGGTTTCATTAGATATCTGACAACTAGAATCCCTCTTTTTTCCGATCCGGTTCCTCCACCACCGCAGATTCAGGCATGATACGCTTTTTGCTTTTTCTTTATTGGGATAACCCAAGTACTCTCTTGCGGATCCATGAAACAACTCTCAGAAATCTCTTCCAAAAAGCTAGAATTGCCAGTTTATTATAAAATCATAAACTCTAAGACATGCACACCCAGTATTATTTTAACAATAATATAGTTAGTGTATGAACAAACTCTAATGATAAAATTAAATTATGATTGAATTTTGAAAGTCTGAACATAATCCATCATTTTGGTGTCAGCACATACATCTTGCAGGCATGAGAAGCAGCAGTGGCAGTCAAATTCCCTTCAACAGAAGTATTTGAATGCTGATAAGAAAAAAAAAGGGGACATATTGAACATCATATGAAAATTCTAACACAAAAAAAAAAAAATTGCACAAAAAAGAAAAAAAAATATTGAAATAAATTAACATCTTAAGAAAAAGGGGGGCATTTGCATGCACATCTTCAAATTCCTATGTATTTACATATCTAATAATTACAATTTATTTTTGTACATTTATATCACCCAAAACTTTTATTATCACAACAAAAATACTGTTATTTTAAATTTTAAAAAGTGGAATACAGCTTTTCATGCATATATAAGATGCCAGATGTGTAAATATTTAAATTTAGATGTTAGATATGTAAATGCATGGGAACTGAGTGGTATGTAAGTAAATCTTATTTAAAATAAGGAGTAATTACATACATACCGCGCAATTTTTATGTATGACATATCTAAGACTAAAAATTTCATATTTATATACATACCACAGAAATCTTTAACATCACATCAAAAATACCAAAATCACCATCTTTTTAGAAGTAGAATGCAGCTTTTCAAGCATAGGTTTATGTCACCGAGGTGTTATAAGTCAAAATATCAAACTTTGAGTGTTAGATACGTAAATACATATGAACTGGGCGGGTGTGCATGTAAATTTAACTAAAAAACATATATTTTGTGGAACATACCTCCCATAGATCACGAGCATCAACAATAGTTGATGAATTCAGACCAATATCAGCCCAGTTTACGGTAATGGATGTCTGAGATGATCCTCTGTTCCATAGAACAACAGCTACCTTCCCTCCACTGAGAGGACCAGCCCAAACCTTTTTTTAAATTAATAATTTGACAATTAATGATCTCATGTTAGCCTTAATTTATACTATCATTTTGAATTTAGAGTAGAGTGCTCTAATCAAGTAATCAAATCATGCAGATCTAATGAAATTGAAGAAAGCCAAACCTCAATGTTGCCGTTAGATTTTACTTTCTTCCCTTGAACTCCAAGCTTATCTAGAGAGAGAGAGAGAGAGAGAATTAGAGCAAATCATAACTAGCTAGGTTTTTTCAGTTATTGCTGTCAGAAAGTGCTAACCTTGGTTAACAGCAATGACCTCTGAGTTGCTTAGTATTGAGAAAGTCTCATTACTCATAGAGCGCACATCACATCCAATAAGCAAAGGAGCCTGAACAAGTTCATGTTCTTCTAATGAATATTCAGACAAAAAAGGAAAGAAGATTTACATATACAGCACTTAATTCCTATGTATTTACACATCTAACATCTAAAATTTAATTTTTACTTATATAGGCTACCTTACTTACGCTTAAAAAGGTGTCTCTTAATTTTTAGAAGTAAAAATAGTGGTATTTTTTAAGAGATGAAAATTTTGGGTGGCATAAATGTAAGAAGTGAAGTTTAGGTGTTAGATATGTAAATACGTAGGAATTAGGTGGTAGGTATGTAAATGCCCCCAAAATAATGCAAATATTTGCAGCAGATGGAAACCTTAGCCAATGCCCATATACTGAAATGTGATCGATATTCTTCAGTTGTCATGCCACCATTTCCTACTTCGAGCATGTCAGGGTCTGAATAACAACAAATAAAAGTTAGAATTATGTTCAAATAAGATCCTTATTTGTCGGTTTATGACAAGAAGTCTCATCCCTTTAGCATTTTCATTTGATAATAAAAGCCTTTTATACGCTTAAGTAAGAAAAAAGAAATGAAATGCATTTTTTCATTTTTTTCTGAGAATTTGTTGATTGGTCATGAATCTCTAGACAACATCCAATCAATCTCTTTGGCAACACATGGGCATGGCTTACTTGTTAATGTTTTCATTAAGTGAAAACAACTAAGCTCCAATTTAAGAAAAAATTGTATTTAAAAAGGGATAATTACATAGCACCCAAAAGATTGCTATTTACAAAATCTAACACCCAGGTGATACTTTTGAGTTTCTGAACCGATGTATTTACGTGTGCCACAATCAAACCATTGAAAACTTGGTAAAAATGAAACATATGGGTAGGGGTTTTATCATGAATTTTGATATTTGAGTGAGAATTTGAAAAATGGTTGAATGAGGGTGCTAGATTTGTAAATAGCAATGTTTCGGGTGTTATGTGTGTAAATGCCTTAAAAATTATCTCATAAAACAGCTTCTGAACCTCCATTAATGGAAAAGAGAAACATCACAAATTACCATTCCATCCTCCTGGTCCTGCATATGAAGCCCATTTGTCATTTAGATCGGCCCGAGAAGTCATGCTAAAATCATAGGCCCGCACGAGAAATTAATAATCAGATTATAAATCAAATTGGAAGAAACCAAAAAATAATCTGCTAAAGAAAATATTAATGAAAAAATAAATGTTAAGTACCTGTCCCACTTGTCTTCAATGTCACCGGTTGTCCTCCAGCTATTTCCTACACTGCCAGCCCAGGTTGCAGGGTCTTCTTGGCCCCTACAGAGTTTTAAAGCACAAAATCAGGTTTAGATATAAAATTTAAATTTATTTCATGTTTATTTGATGTACGCAAAAATGATAATGTCAATTATATTTTCTAATAAAGATTATAATTGTTATCCTGATCAATATCAAAATGATGAAGGTGACAAAAATAGCTATGAATGTCGAAAAAAGCTCAATGTATTTGAAGAACATGACGCGTGCCTAAGGCTACGGCTCAAACTCAATTAGTAAATAACTTGGGCTTAAAAGATATCTATGAAAATAAAGATTTTTTTTTTATGTACTCAAAGTAATCAATCGAACAAAGGTCAATGCTTTTGATGTTTATTGACTTAGATATACCATTTGTTTTGACTCAATAATAAATGAGCCTAATACAAACACATATTTTTTTTAGCTCATTAAAAAGCTTGGGTCCATTCACATTCCGTTTGATATTTATATGAATAAAGCGAACATGACCCTATTTCATTCATATTCGGCTCATTTACATCTTAGATATATTGAACACAAAAATCCAATTACGAACAAGTAAAGTGCTAAGAAAATACAATGACAATTTAGATGAGATTATTTTAGTCCCATAATTTATAGAAGTGTCAAATTAGTAACAAACTTTTCTAATAATAGTTGAAATACAGTCCATACTAAAAGAGTCTAGGAACTAAATTGATACTTGACTCTGAGACTAAAAAGGCTCCCTACAAAGCATCAATAGTTCATTTTTGACACCTTTCTCAACTAAGAATATTAAACAATAGAATCTGAACCAAAAATACTACTCATTCTCAGTCATAAAGCAAGCCTGGCTTGTTCAAAAGTGAAAAAATTGGCCTAGTTCCTTGAAATTAAATTGTTCGTCGAAGTTGAGATTATGAGACATACCATTCACACAATGAAAAGAAGATGTTCCTCCCTGAATTCAAAAGAGCTTGGCTCATATTCTTGTACCTATTTCAATTTAGAAGCAATTTTAAAAAAGGTCAAATATTCTTTTGAGTGCCACTTTTTTCTCTTTTTGTGAAATGGGTAAGAGTGGCATTGTATCAAGTCCGCACATAGTTGTAGCATTTACATTAGGGAAATTTACATATTTAGCATACAATTCTTATGTATTTACATAAATAAAACCTAAAGCTCAATTTTGGCATGCACGCCACCTTGCATATGCATTAAAAGGTGCATTTTACTTTCAATAGTTAAAATAGTGGTATTTTTTATGTGATATGAAAGATCGGGATGGTGTGAGTGTAAAAATTAAGGTTTAGACGTTAGAGATGTAAATACATAAGAGGTGGGTACTATGCATGTAAATGGCCCTTCACATTAAGATATGAAGCATATTACCTTTCTTTCAGGTCGACATTCTGATTGTTGCAGTTGTCATATTTCAAATAGTCCACTTCCTTTGAGAAAAAAAAAAAAAATCAGACAAAGGATCAAACATTAAGAATATTATCATTCTAATCATTCAACGCAGAAAAAATTCTTATCTATTGGGCTTATATTTTCGGTCATTTTACTAACACAAAAGGCCTAGAATCAGGTTTCATGCTTCTATGGTTAGAATTGTAAATATGATATGTTTTTGCTGTATTATATTAAATAAAGTCATAATCTTATATAGAAATATGAGTAGCTTTAGGAACAATAAGTTACGGATAAAATAGTGATTATTCAAATATACTTGTAGTATAAACCAAAACTGTCAATCAAGAGAAAAGTGGAATTGGTACATTAATCGTTCATACCCACGAAGCAAAGGTACTGGCATCTTGCTGCTCATGTCCTAGTGATCCCGGCATAGTCTTCGAGCATGTTTGAGTCCTAAATTTTTCAAAAATCCATAACAGTTTGGGTTGTGGTAGTTCTAAATAATTAATAACAATGCATTGTTTGCGTTAGAAAAGAAGCCTCAAAATTTTAGGGAGATTTACATACATAGCATACAGTTCCTATGTATTTAGATATCAAACACCTAAACTTTGATTTTTACATCTATACCACTTTACCTAGGTTTAAAAAGGTGTGGTTCACTCTTTTAAAATTTAGTAATAGTGATATTTTTTATCTAATATGAATGATTTGAGGGTTATAAATGCAAAAATTAAAGTTTCGGAGTTAGATACGTAAATATTACTAAGATTTTACCCAGCATCACTGTAGATTCCAAGCTTGAGGCCCTTTTCATGAAGATAGTCTGCAAGGGACTTGATGCCTGAGGGAAATGTTGATGATTTTGGGACTAAATTACCCTGTGAAAGAAAAGACAAATGTAAGCTGTACAGACATGCAGAATATTAAATTTGGATTATGAAATGCTAACCATACTCATTCAAGTCATAAATTTTAAATCTTGGCAGGAGCAACATGGATCGTAAGTATAACATTTTTTTAACAACTTAGTTTCAAATTAAAATTATCTTGAAGGACTAATGTGTAGTCAATTCAGCAATTCAAGACAGAGTCCTGGGCTCACTTTAGAAAGAGGTTTATGATTTAATTTCACCTACTATAGTGATTATGTGATTCACAAGAGTGAGTGGGTCCCACTTTCAGGAAAGATGAGCTTACATCTCGAGCAAAAGCCCACGAATGGATTTGAGGATTGATGGAACTTAGAGGTGTTTGGCAATGCCCAACGATTGATTTGAAGTATTTGTGATTTTAGATAGTTGTACTTGATATAGATGAACCGAGTTATGATGAATTTTATGCATTCAATATAAACTCAGTCGAGGAAATTGGGGAGCTAAGGATTACAGCTTTGTCTTTGATCAAGAAACCCATAGAAACTCAAAATTCATTTATTTAGTAGGAAATCAGCTCAAGGACTTAAAAATTTTGCTATGAGAATTAGTTTTAGAAAATTTAATGGTTTTATGCCAACTCAAAGATGACTTATATCTCAATTTGATAGACATGGGTTGAGAATTCTAGGATTGTGCATATAAATGGCTTTTGGTCTTTGACAGCTTATGCCTCAATTTAATAGAGATGGTTTGAGTAATTTAGGATTGAATTAGGTTTTACTTAAAAATAAAGTTTGAACTTGTGAGATAGTGTCGGATTTATTTTAGATTGTTTTTGTATTTTGGTTCGATCATCGGTTCTAAATCTATTACACATTATAGAACGAGATTATTAAACAAGGTGAGATACGTGATATCATTACAGAATAGCTGTCGAGAAGAGGACTGTTCTACTTCATCCCTTAACAAGGATAATTAGACCCAAATATAAACTTTCCCATTTTTGTAGTGTTGTGCCTTTTTTTTTTTTTTTAATTGTAAGGATATTTTAGCAGATTTTTCATATTTTGAGAAAGAAAATGAGGTTTTGTAACAAAATTAGTAAGAGTGTTAAAAATGTCTCATTTTTTTTTTTGGTAATTTTTTCAAATTCTTTTGATATTTCTTAAAAATTTTCTAAAATATTATTTTCTATCTATCTTCATTTTTTCTTGTTCTTTACTTTTAAATGCTTCAAAAACATTAAAAGCATTCCTTGGCCTCTCCAATCCTCGAACCTCAAACACGTACATGCAATGCAGTGCGTTATTTGATTAAGAAAACAAATATGTACATTTTTAAGGCAACTAAAAGTTTCTCAGGGCGAAGTGATTTGAGTTCAAAATTTTTCAAAGAACGTGTAGCACTTACATTTTTAAGGCAACTAACAGTTTCTTAGGGCGAAGTGATTTGAGTTCAAAATTTTTCAAAGAAAGTGTAGCACTTCAAAATTTCATTTTTTTATAAATTTTTAATGTTCTCATTGGTATCGGCAATTTGATTGAAATATGCCACAACATATTGTGTTTTGTTAGGTTGCCATGCTTTTAGGCATAGCAAGCATGCATTTTAATATATTTTATTTATATTTTAAAAAGTTTGATGCTATTTGTTTTGAATCAAATTTCTCGTGGAAAACACATACATTCTTATGTTTCAATGGGCTTACAGAGCTTTTGAAGAGAGAGAGAGAGAGAGAGAGAGAGAGAGAGAGAGTTGGAAAGGGAGAGAGGTGTGCAAGATAAAAATAGGAATAACGAAACTAAGAGTATGAAAAAGGGTATTATATAAAGGAAGAGAGAAAAAGAGAGTATAAAGGGGGCATCATCACCTTGGTGGCGGCTACAGAGAAGAAGCTCGAGATGATGGTGGGGATGGTACTAGAGGAGGTGACAATGCACCAAGAGGAAGAGCATAAAAGAAACATAAAAAGGGAGTGAATGAGAGAAAAAAAAGGGAAAAGAGGAAAAGGTTCCTACATTTAACAATGTTAGAACTGACAAACTTACACACAAAATTATTCTTTAAAATTAAAGCAGCAGCTAGCATGGGACCACCAAGTAAAAACGATGTCTCAAGGGGGAAAATATACTACAAATAAGCTCAAACAAAAATCCATTAAAAAAACTATATGAAACAATCATTGAAAGAGAATCAATTAGATATGCACCTGTCGGCGTTTAAAAAGGGGGGAGTTACGTTTGGGGGTCGCCCGTAAGAAGCTGTCGGTCGCCGGAATCGAAATCCCGTCACCCGCTTCGGAAGGACTTTTTAATTTACATATATATATATAATTTTAGAAAAATACGAAATCAAACTGACCTCATATTTTTCACAGTTTAAATGAAAGAGCGCTCTACCTCAAATCCTGTATCTACCCCGAAGAATAAACACAAGACCTGAGGATGAAGCTCGATCAAATAAACTAAGAAAGATATGACGTCCGTTTGGGTCTGCGAAACCATTTTATTTGCCGACAAGTTCCCCTATTTAATACAAATAATTAAATAGGGTTTATTTTAAGCTGGGTTGGAAAAGGCTCCCTATAAGGGCAAGCCCCTATAGTTAATTACATCTCAAATGACCGAGGTCACCTAAGAAAACTCTCGATAAAAATCAGGGGATAATGTCTTCAAAGAGGTCAAAAGGATAGGACTTTACAACGAAATCGGACGAAGAGGTGTGAAGGGGAAAAGCTCAAATCTGGAACATTGTTAAGGAATCCAAATGAAGAGAAACTAGGGGA